TACACCTTATCTATGATTATACACTACATATCCTTATACACTTAAAATAAAGCATTAATTTTCTTGATTCTCTAGAAAACTGTTTAGAAATACTTAGCAAAACAACGTTTGCCGGGTCAGCTATTATGTAATAAATTTTTTCGGAGTTGTTAATCTCGTCGATTACTGTCGTAGCGCCGCTGCGCTCTCTCGTTATTGTCAGGGTGCCGACACCCTTACGTTGCTGTTCGCTCCACTCATACTCTTCTTTTATCTATGGCTCCACTGTTATTAGCATTCGTTATCTATGGACATATGTCGTTGATGGTTTCGCATCTCGCATTAGATTCAACAAGGTGTCTGATCTATAGAAAGAGAGTATTGTATTGTATGGTTGTGTTTCAGTCCGATTTGGTTTCAATTCAGTGATTTAGTGCACAATTAATGATCTACATTGGCGATAACGTTATTTGCAAGCTTTTGGTTAGTACTTTCAAGGATTGATAATTTTGCTTATTTATTTAGTACATGACAAAAGCAAAGAACTTTTGACAGCATCTTATTTCACTTTTGCATTGATTTGATGTGAGAAATATTCGTTAATAACGTTCGTTTTTATATTTATAGTTATATTTATTGTTATAAATTTGTTATTTTGATTTAATTTAAAACGTAATGCTCGTCGTATCTGTGATTAATAACTGCGTAGGCAACTTGTTGTTTGTGGATATCGTTTCAAAGGATAGGTTATGGCTAAAACTTATGCTACAATTCCAAATATTTTTTTTTGTGGATACTCATTTACCTTTTTTTATAGTTATATTAAAATAATATTTTTATATCTATTTGAATTACTATTGTATTTTATAATTTCAGATGCCGGTGAGGAAACCCTATTCAACATGTTGGAGGCCCATGTGAATGTTTTATTGTACAAAACCATCCTATATTTAATAACTACATGAGGTAACTTGAGTAAGAGTTTGTGGATGTAAGTACCTCTGTTTTACCATGTTTTTTATCGCGATGGATATATTTCTGATTAGTATGATTAAATGTTCACGAAACACACTTTAAGGCACATGTTATTTGAAGTACATGATTTAAATCTTAGCCATTTGATCTACTATTGAACCTGGATTCTGCAAGTTAATGAAATATGCATCTTTATTTACTAATTTCTGTCAGTAATTGTTGTCTGTTTTAATATGAATTCAGTAGTTAATTTACTATGTACATATTTGCTATTGCCAACAAATATGGTTGATATTCGACACTTTCCATCCTGCTATATATAATTTAAATGGTTAATTTTAATATTAATTTTTCATGGAAAAGACATATTTTTTATTGATTTAATACTTCTTTTTATCTTATGTATTACTTGTTTTCAACCTGTTTAATTTTTTTCATATAGAATCCACATCATGCTTACTGTATGGAAACTGTTTATCCCCTTAAAATTGACAAAAACTTCACTTATTATTCATTTATTTATGTTTTTTCAACGGCGATAGTACAATATATTTACATTTTGAAGTCTACAAATTCTAAACTAAAGAGGTATATGTGAGGAAATAGAGTATTAAGAGTTCATAGATAGCTTTGTATATACATAGCACTTATTATAAACTACAAATTATAACATTAAATAAAAACTAATAAAATTAAACATTTAATAAACTATAAATCACTACTTAAGACAGACTTTTAAGGATTTTTTCTGGCTTGATTTTTATGTTTGTCACCGACAGACCAAGATATCAATCTCAGAAGCAAATTCATTTATTATTTTTGATATTCTGAACATCGGTACATGTGAAACAAATTTGGTTTTAACTGTAGGTATTTCCAAAGTTCAGTTATTATGTAACTTAACGTTTCATATGACAAATTTGATGCGTTTGAGAAGTTCAGGTGCATATAAAGCACCTTTCACAATATTTACTCCATAGCAGAAGGTGAGGTATATTCTTCTAGCATCGAGTGGGGTAATGTTAAGATGGTTGTACATTTGGGGACTGACTTAACAGAATATTGCTCTTGTATCTGCGGAATCTTACATGATTGACAAATTTTTTCTGGACAGATTCAATTCTGTCAATCTGATATTGGTAAATCGGGTCCCAAATTACACATCCATACTCTAATATTGGTCTAACTAAGGTATCAAGTAGTACACTCAGGGTATCATCATTTTGGAAATCTCTACTGTTTCTGAGCAGACCACCGAGTATACTATTTGCCCTTGACACAATATTGTTCAAGTGACCATCGAATGCTAGCTTTCTATCTATATATACTCCCAAATCACGGATACCATCCACCTGCGGAAGTACTTCTGCTATGAAGTATCGATGATTAGAGTAGCTTTTACTGCCGCGACAAAATTTAATAACTGCGCATTTATTCACATTCAATTTAAATTTATTTATTTCATACTATCTAGATAATCGATTTAAGTCTTCCTGGAGTGCACACAAATCACCTTTGTTCCTTATGCCTCTGTATATTTTAGAGTCATCCGCAAATAAAGAAAACTCAGATGAGAAACCATTGCCAATGTCATTCACAGATATACAAAATAGCAATGGTCCAAGATGAGATCCTTGCGGCACTCCTGAAGAGACCGTAAATTTATCTGATTTGGAGTCGATTAATTTCACACATAGTTTTCTACCTCTCAAATAGGATTCAGCTTCTTATTCTTATTCAGCTTCATCGAGATCACATCATGATTAACCAAATCAAAAGCTTTACTAAAGTCTGTGTATATAGTATGTGTTTCCATTCTGTTCTCAAGTTGATGCATTATATATTCCACTTATGTCATGAGATTGGTAGTTGTAGACCTATCTTTATAAAACCGTGTTGTCGATTAATCAGGGTGCTTCTAAACCAAAATTCTATTCTACTAAAAATTAATTTTTCAAATAATTTAGGTAGAACTGATTGAATGCAAATTTGTCTCTAATTACATATATTAGATTTCACGTCTGATTTGAACATGGGGACAGCATATTCGTCTTTCCAGTCAGCTGGAAACACACAGATTGAATAAGCCCCAAAGGCTTTGTTTGTTGATCGTGAGCTTTCTTTAGAGAGTCATCAGCATTTGCATTTTGCTTAAAAGATGAAGTAATATTTTTAACAGCTGTTAATAAATTCTTGGCTTTGTCTAGTCCATCCTTATTGTCAAATGGTTTTGATGCTACTAGGTTTAATGTATGAGCAAAGCATGGCATGTGTTTATTTTTGCCATAAACATTTGTTACTGCTTTATCGATATTAGTGCCATTGTCCGTGATAAACGCTACCACTTTGTCACTTGTGATGTCACATTTTTCTGTCATATTAATAATAACTTGTTCTAAGTAATCAGCATTGTCTGATTCTGTTAGAGCAGTTACACATCTGCAGCCAAAGATAGTGCTTCTACTTCTTGTATTTTTAATTTCAATTTTGCTGAAAGAGCGTTATATTTATCATCAATCATGTAGGTAATAGTTTTTCTGGCTGAAATTTTATAAAGCGGTGCCACTACTTTCATCAAATATTCAAACCCTGTTTTTTCCACAGTATTTAGAGGCAAGCCATCCTTTGCTATCATGAAGACTATTGCATTGGCTAGTTAACCACTTTTACTCTTTTAACACCATTATCTGAAAATTTTAGAAAGAGTTATAATTTTCGATCCTGTATCTTTACATCTCCCTTTCATGAAAATTTATTAAAAAAAATATTTCAGTTTCTTGTTTTACCTCGAAATGATTTTATATTTGTTAAGCAAGATGTCAATGTTAGCTGTTGACTGATACAGAGACAGAAGAAGAAGCCACGCTTTCATTATCCGAATCATTAACAATTTGAGAATCTGAAACTGGCACGATCACTAAAGCCATGTCATCAAAAACCTAAAATAAGAAATATATTACTTTGATTTATTGAACATTAATTCTTATTTTGTTCAAACTCAGTACATAGGAAAACAAAGGATGTGATATAAGAAATACAGGCTCCACTCCGCTCAATTGTCCATCACCATTTCGTGCATTACCACAATTGCCACCACCACTTTCACTCTTCTTTTTGAGACTTACGGTTTGAATTGTTGGATGACGTCTTAATAAATGATTATGCAAGTTTGTTGTGTTTCCCTTAGTTTTTACTTCCTGGTGACAATATTTGCATTTGCCTGCCTCCTGAGTCTTTTATTATGAAATGATTCTAGATATACTTTTACCCGACATGCTGAAAAAATAAATTTTTTCCTCATTAAATTTGATAAACATTGAATTTGTTATAAGATAATCGGGGCTTTATTATTACTTTCTATGTAAACAAAATAAACAATTTGAGGTTATATGGATAAATGGACATAATAGTAGAAGTGTCCAATATTGATTATTCGTAATGTTCGTAATCTAAACGTAAATGAATTACATACATGGTTAGATTTAATGATAACAACTAATAGATCAAACTGAATATAACAGCACGAAAGCAAAAAAACAAAATAAAGCGCTTTACTTCGCGAAGCGCGAAGAAAGTTTTATTTCAAAACAGTGCTTGTTTTATACTAATAAATGTTTCTCCTTCAAATTCTGCCCCATCATATTCATTATCGGTATTTGAGCATATCTTGATTAAACTTTGTAGACCGATAAAAATAATTTATATGCCGTATGCGGTTTGATCATTTCATATTTTGTAAGATAATATTTGCAAAATGCTTTACTTATGTAAATCTAAATAATAAAATAATACTAGAAAAACAATACTTACCTACTTAGGTTCAATTAGTTAATATTCCGCAACAAACACTACATAAAAATTAGTATTTATCTCGCTTTACGAGAATAACTCAATCAATCAACAATAAACAAATGTAATAAATACCAAAAATAAATTATGGCTGGTGGCATGACGCAACTCAGTCCAGTAACAGATACAAAGAAAGAAAAAGTCAAAGACTACAAAAGTAACTTTTTTTATTCAAGACATGCGAAGGAATCTGAACATACAGCCACCTCGCGAGTTTTTGAATAATTAATTCTTTAACCGGCAGCACTCTTATAATATGGATACGTTCAACTGATTGTAAATAGTTTTATGGTTTATACCAAAACAAATCGAATGCCGATTTTCAAGGGTGAAATATCGATTCACCCAATCGATTCAGTACTACATATCGATTTAAAAAATCGATCTTGTTGGCTCCAAAAATCGATTCTTCGATTAATCGATTTCAGATCGTCATTCCTATGCAGGATGAGCATCAGGGGTAAAGGGGTGAATCAGATTTTCAAAATTTAATCAAATTTTAATAACTTCCAGAAAGTAAACAAGAATAGTTTTGTTTGAAACATGAATAACTTTTAATAAGTTGTCATAACTATGTATTGTCTATTTGGAATCTAGGATACAAATCTATAAATTTCTACCCAGTATTATTAATGCATTTAAATTTGCATGTAGTAGTCTAGATTTTAATTTGTGTATATATCGTATAACTCTTACTGACAAATAAAGGTAAATAAATTTTTCTCCCAAATTGTAATTCAGAAGGTGTATAATTTGCCGATTTATGTACGGTGGCACATACATTGTGAATAAAAATTACAAATTTAATATATTTGTATCAATTTGTTTGTGTACTGTTTATATATGAACTAATATTTTGGATAAGATCCTTATGCATACGTTCACATGCACCATTAGATGGTGATGTTGCAATTCTTTTTTCTTAAGTTTAAATAAATTACTATTAAAAGTTGTTTCTAAATTTGACAAAACTTCTTTTAGTAGAATACTATATTTAAAAACAATTTCTGATACAAAAGCTTTCGCAACCATAACGCTTTCTAGATTTGGAATAGGAATTACATCTACAAATTTTGTTAGCTCACAAATTAAAGTTAAGAATTATTTATTTTGATTATCTGATGGGTTCTTTAGTTTTTCTTGATATCTTATTTTTTGATAATTTGCACATTTACTTATGAAATTTCTAAATTTCTCATGTTTGGCCACTTTCACATGTTTTCACTGATATCTCGGCCAAATGATGAGAATTTGGTATTTCTAATTTTCTCGAAAATACCTATAAAATGGCATCAAAATTATTTAAATAGCAGGGTGGGGCCAATTCTGTATGGAAACACGCCCATATACTTTGCTATTAATTAAATAAAACACCACTTATACTATATTCAATATACATATATTTAATGAACATTATTGTTCAAACATATAATTAAGTGCATAATATTACACTAAAAATAAATTTGGAAATATATAAAAAATATTAGGTTGTCAAATATCTCCCTTCCGCTTTTTTGCTCTTGGTTTATAATACAAAAAGGCGGAAGGGAGATATTTGACAACCTTATATACATTCTTATAAATAATTTATCACTTTACATTCATTATTCCAATTTCAATTATTGACACATTACAAATCTAACATTAACAACAATTAATGTTTTTATAAATCTAATTTAAAACTAATGTTTGTCCCTGAGCCTTGTTGATTGTCATTGCAAATGCCAATCGTATTGGAAATTGTAATTTTTTGAATGGTATTGTAAAATCTGAGAGTATCATAGGAATCCGTGGCAGGAGAACCATTTCTCATTTAAACTTTCCTGTCAAAATTGTTGCTTCTATTATATTACCCTTTATCCTATTTATGACCAAACGTGTACCGTTGCATAACTTCGGCGGATTCAAATTACGGATCAGAATAATTTGTGAACCGATCTTTAACCGTAGATCAATGTGGAGGCATCTCAGGTGCATCTATTGAATTTAAAAACTCCGTGGGATAGTTTACACTTTCATTATCATCCACAACTGTGTCTATCGATTTAAAAGACATGACATCGCCAGGTATTAACTGTTGTATTCTGAAATTAATGTAGTCTACGTCTATATTCTTTGCTGTTAATATCCCCCTTCCACTCAGCCAGTCATGATTCAAATAATTTATTCGTATATTCTGATAAATATTATTAATCAACTCATTTTTTTCCTGATAAATTATGCAGAAATCTTCTTTCAGTTTGATTAATTCCATATTTGTTTCCGGTCGTACTTTGCGCCATTTCCTATATCAATTAGTTGTTCTGAAAACATTTGTGCTGATGGACCTTGCTCCAATCGCACACGCATGTTTATGGTCAATTTAAGTTTTTCAACACTTCGCCACAAAAAGGATTGCTTCAAGCATGCATTGATCTTATCTGCGTAAGTTGATCGAGGTATAACAGGTAAGGTCTGTCTGAAGTCAGCTGACAAAAGTAAGAAAGCACCACCGAAAATCTGATCGCTTCCTTTCAAATCTTGCATAGTTCTATGTAATGCTTCCAAAGAGTATTTATGTGCCGTTGTGCACTATCCCAAATGATGATTGCACTGTTTTTCAATACTGCAGGTATTCCACTATTCTTTTATATATTACATGTCGCATTCTCTTTGTTGTGTATATCTAATGAAAGCTTGAATGTGGAATGTGCTGTTCGTCCTCCTTCCAGCAAAGTAGCCGCAATACCAGACGATGCTACTGCCAATGCTATTTTTTGCAATCTTACTTTTGCAAGAATCAATGATATGACAAACGTTCCTCCTGGGGCGTCCAAGAAAAAGAAACCCCCCTGTTCTGCAGCAACGGTCAGCATAACCCTATCGTAAATAAGCTTCTGTTCTTCTGTCAGTAACTTCTCATTGTTTTCTATAACGCTTGTTAAATTTTCAGTCATAATTTTTCTCTCTTTCTAAATCAATGTTAACAAAATCTGATAGTGGGCGATTTGGTGATTGTAAACCAAAATGATCAAGTTTCAAATTCGAAATTATAAGACACAAATCTTCCAGCAACACTAATGTTTCATTATAAATCTGCGATGTATAGTCTATATTCTGGATTCGATATATTCTTCTAAACATATGTAAAATGCCCTCCGACATATGGTTTTTATATTTTTCCTGCAAATTTTATGCGCGCGATGGGGATAGCACTTTGTTAAAATGATTGCAAATAGTTGCCGAATGTTATTTGGCGTCGAACTCAAGGAAGCATCCGCAAGAGTTAGGTCCCACTGGTTATCGTCTTCCAATAGCTGCAGCTTTCGGCATGCCTCTTTATATGTACTTAATTCTTGGCCATTTACTATTCGCAAAAATTCAAAAGATGTAGGCCCTCGAACGTTCACCATCAGCAGGCTACGCTCGCCCCAATATATCATTTTTCTTGCATAGATTAAAATATTCTGTCAATGTTGTTTTTGGTCCCTCAAGTGCCCTTTGCTGAAAATTTCGTTCTGTGAAGTACCCACGTTGTCCGTTCTCAAGATGAACTGCCAGATGCTGGACAGAAGGGTTTCGTTCATGAATTGGAAATATGCCAAATAGCTTTCAATTACAAATCAAATCAATTTCTACTGGCTCATCAAAGTTACGTAGTCTTATTGTAAAAGTGTGTCCACCATTGTCTTGATTTCTGCGTCGGTACAGCGGATAACCGTCAACGTCCGTGATGGTATCATTAGTTGGAGGCTTCGAAAAATTTTTTTGATTTTATTTATCATATAGCCCACAGAGAAGCTCCAG